GGACTGAGAATATTGAAAAAGAAGGGCAACTCAAACGTCTCCTCTTCCATATCACTGACCAAGAGCCCCTTCATATCCGCGACAGGCTCCCAGGTTGGCATCTGCGAAAGAATGTAGCCAAAGACTCTCAAGTACTCTCTCCTGACGATGGCAGACTCCTCGCGAGCTCCAGTGTAGATAGAAGGCAACAAAATAGTCTTCAGATGGGCTTCGAAGCCGCTCTTGGATGTCTCGTGTGAGCAGGCCGCCACCTCTCTGACGAATTTGCGTAGAGAGTCTGCAGAGTTCGATGCCAAGATGCCATACTCCTCGTCAGAACGAATATAGTAAATCAAGTTGTGCAACAGAGGCAGCCACTGTTTGACAGTGAAAGGCGTTTCCTTGTTGGTGATCCGGTTGAAGGCGGCGAGCCGCTTGTCGTAGTCTGGCTCATCGATGCGGTTCGGTGCGAAGGCATTGAGATCACGGCAGATTTCGGCAATCTCCTGGAGGGTGGTATCCTTCTCGGCCAAAACTGTGAGAACGCGGGCCAAAGACTGCCTGTTGTCCCTGTCTTTGAAGTAGCTGAAGAGGGAAGACAGGGTCTCAAAAATGGCGATATCAGCAGTCTTCTCTTCCGCTTCCTCAGAGCTAAGGATGGTGATGAATCGCTCCAGAATGAGGAGAATCTTGCCCTTTGCTCTGGGGTTGACTCGTCTCGGCGGCTGGTTGAGGAGGAAAGTTGCGATCTTGAGTGTCTCGCGCACGTTCGCCGAGGTCTCAACAAGCGGAGAAAGCTCGACAATGGTCTCAATGCAAGACTCGAGCAGTTCATTGCTCATAGTTTGCGTCTCCAGCGTGGTAGTGATGGTCTTCAACATCAGCTCCATGTTGGCATCCAGAAGCTCAGTACGGATGAGCTCATTGAATTCGGATTCCACAGCAGGTGCCTGTGCCAGCTTGATGAGGTTGCGGATGATGCTGAGGGCGAAAATCTTGACGTTTTCTTTCGCCTTGGGCATTGACACGCACTCGATAACCTTGGGCAGGATCTGGTCGTTGATCGAGATAAAGAGTGCTGCCTTTGGTAACTGAGACCAAGTCGAGACAAGCTGCATGATGCTTGAGATTGACTGGGCCGTCTCAACGGGGAGCTTCTCAATCCTGGGAACAACGACCTCGTTGACGATAGGTTCGGAGTATGGAGTCCAGTTGAAGTCTTGTGCATTGCGGAACAGTGCAATGAGACACTTGACACCGACAGTCCGGATGGTCTTGAGCAGAGACTCCTGAGATTCCTCGTTCGTTTCCTCCACTTCCTCATCTGACTCGACGGTAGTGGACTCCTTGAGCCGTCGGCAGGCAAAGACCAGACAGTACAGAACAGGATTGAGCAGTTTTTCAACATAGGGACCCACGTGCTGGCCAAGTTCATTGATAAGGGGCAGCATCATGTTCATGAAACCAGTCTGCTTGCGAACAGGAAGAATTTCCCGGTCAAACAGGTTGGTGCGGAAGCCGGAGTCGTCAACGACACGGGCTCCTTTCAGACACCCAATAGCGATGTCCAAAAAGCTGCCTGTATCTTCAACGCTGAGGGTTCGCAGGACGGCCAGACGAGTGGCCTGGAGACCATGGCGACCGCTAGAAATACCCTTTTTGGAAATGGTTCGTCCGTACAACAGTCGCAGAAGGACAGGCATAAGCTCTCCGCGGTGTTCAAGCTGAATTGTTGATTCGCCTTGGAGGAAGACTGTAAGTTCGTTCTTGAATCTGGCTTCATCGAGGAGGTACTCCAAGTTCTCCTGGTATGGTCGAACGCCCGCTTGCTTCCAGGAGAGGATAGCTTTCAGCGCCAGCTTTTGCACCTCCACGTCACCGTTCTCCATGAGGTGAAGCAGTGCAGTGTAGACCCTTTCGTGCTGGTAGAGCACTTTCGGGTTGATGAAGAGAGCGAAAACACCAACCAACGCCTTGCGATCGTAAAGAGACCAGTCTTCGCTCTTGACTTCTGCATCCTCATCATCCTGGCTTTCTGACGAGTTGTCTTCATCAACAGCAGCCCAAGACAGGAAAAAGGGTACGAGTTTGCGAGAGCGTTTCTCGGCAAAGTGAGGCATGGCAGTGAGCACCTTCAATGCCTGTGCTCGAGCATTGCCGGCGTGAGCTTCGACAGTCTCCTGCTGCTTGTCAAATGACTGCAGCATAAGATCGATGGCGTTGTTGACAACCTGCTCCACCTCATCCGCCGTGCTCCAGAGCTCTTGCATGTGTTGGCAGTCAAAATCCGTGATGGCTTGGCGACCCTGGAGTGTGGGCTGACTGAGTGGTCCAGACCATCTTGGTGAAGGAGTCTCCAACCAACTGAAAGCAGTGGTCGCGATAGCCTCTTCACCAGTCTTAGTGGCGCCAACCAACTTCAAGGCAGTGATGGTATCGTCCCACAATGGGGAGAGCTTGACCGTCAGCATGCCGAACATGAAGGAGGGAATTGCCTTTAGGAGCCACGAGTTCTCGCTCAATTGTGAGTAATTTTGACCGAGTTTGCGAAGATGCATCGCAATATTTCTCAGACTGGAGGGCTCCAGAGGGGTGTTTCCGATGTCCAGCATAAGAGTCAGACAATGGTGCTCATCAGGAAGTGACTCGAATTGCTGGAGGATCTTGAGAGACGCAAGGCGGAGTTCATGCGAAGGTGCCGAGAGGTTTTCGATAAGGGCCTCAACGACTGGGTCCTCTTCTGAGCCCTCACTGCTATCACTGCTCTGACGGTCGACGGGAGGCGGTTGGTTTCGTGTGAGCTCGGTGTAGGTGAGATAAGCCTCCAAGAAGCCAACCGAACGGCTGAACCTGGGAAGAGCAGCACGAAGGAGCGGGTCCAAGGCTGGATCGACTGGGCCCGCCGCTTTGCTCATTCGCAGGTACGCGTGAAAGCCTTGGCTGATGCTGAAGTGAACCTCGTCTGACGCCAATGTAGTTGAAGGCTTGAGCGCCAGCCTCAGTTTCCGAAGTAAAAGTTCCGCAATCTTCGCGTTGGCTGAGGGGTGAACGGTCGTCGAGAACAGGAGATCCAACAAGGCAGAGTACTTTGGCAAGCATCTGTCTCTCCATGTTTGAGGGTCCTTATCATACGCGCCGCGCTCGGGAAAGGGTGTGCTTTCGAGTCGCTCAAACTTTGACACGATCTGGTCCTGCCAGCTGCGCGGGAGGTTGCACGTCTCCTTTGCTCCCGGCGAAGGTAGACTTCCGTTTTGCACCATGCGAGGAAGGAAAACACACAGCATATCTTCGTTTTGGCCATCGGACCAGTGACTGACGATGAATCTAGGTCTGGTTAGTTTCAAGGAGCCTAATGGCAGGGTGGTGAAGGCATGTATACCTTTGGAAATATGTCTGGAACAGACTTCGGAATCGTGTCGAGTCAAGCTGGGAGAAGTAGGCACAAAAGGGGATGTACCATCTCATGAGCCTCTCCTTCTGAAGTGCATTCATGAAATCCTTCATGCAGGGAATAAGTGCTTCAACCGGCGCTTGATGCCAGACAATCGCAGCATTGACGATGACATGTTTCCATACAAGATCCAGCTTATCTTCTGTCACCTCGGGGGCTTGTTGTGCCGTAGAAACCAACATGGCAGTCAAGTTTTCCACAAGGACGGGCCAGTTGCTGATGCGGTTTCCGTGGCGTACACCCGCTGTTGTGCCAAGAACCCGGATCAATGGGACAAACTTCCAAGTCTTGCTTGGCTTGGAGTCCTCCAAAGCCGCCTTAACTTGCTCCTGAATCGCCTCAAGGACGTCGGCGAGATCCTTATCGTTCGAGTGGTGGATGATGCTGGTCAAAACACCACATACCAAGTCGGTCCAGGTCGTAGTCTGAGTGAGATCCTCTTCTGTCTCAGGTATCGCCTTAAGAAGAGACACGAATAGGGCCGGTCCGGTCGAGTGAATGGTCTGGCCGGGACCCTTCATGGCCTCTGCAAACATGGTCATGAGGCCATCCTGGTACAGCTGGAATGAACGTTCGCCGACAGAGCTCCGAAGATCGTCTCTTGCGTGGCTGACAATTGCGGTGAGGGCGGTCTCTCGGTGTCCGGGCGCTGCAGCCTTCTTGATCAGAAAACTCAAAGCTTCGGCGGAGAAACGGGCAATATGAGGAGGATGGCGAGCCTTTCCCAAGAGAGGCGCTACAACATCATATGTTGGTCGCAGATTAGGCACGATTAGCCTAGACAGGTATTTGAACAGGAAAGCCAGCGCTGCGAAGGTCCATTCGATGACGTCGGCGTCTTGTGGTTTGGCGGCAATGGCAACAATGAGATCCAGGGACTTCGCATAGTACTTCTCGAACCTCGTTCCAATATCATGCGCGAATGCTGTGAGAAGTTCCAGGAGCGGTTCCAACATCTCCTTATCCTGCTTTGCCAGTGCCTCGGCTAACAAGTTGAAGATCTTCTCTTCATGGTGCAGAATCTGAGCCAGCGTCTCGCTCATGTACCATGCTTTCGTCTTGACGTCGTAAAATCCCTTATAGATATTAAGTTCTGACCATTTTTGCAGGCCGGTTCGGAAGTAGGAGGTTGTGGATTCGAGATCTTCGGCTTCGAGGTCGTGTCGGCGGACTTTTCGCAAAGGATCGAGTGCGTTGAGTTTCGCGATTTTGGCTGCGAATGACTCCCACCGGTGATTCTTTGAGTGGGGAGTCAAGTTCTTGCCCTTTCGGGACTTTGTAATCCGCCCTGATGAAGTGGAAGGCATGTTGGGCGGTTTGACAGGTGTGGTGTGCAAGAACCCGTCGTGATCGCCTCCCAGCTTCACTGCTTGATCGCGAAAAAAAGTTCCCCGCCAACTCTTCAGAGCTCAGCCAGAAAATTGAACTTTTTTTCTGTCGGCAGAAGGTCGGCCGATTGCGATAGACTGATAAGACGTATCTTTAGTGGGCCTAATCCAATGGGCGAGCTTGGATAAAATGGGCCCACATTACTTCGTCGCGCGCATCTTCCTGTCGCATCTTCAACTCCAAGCTTCCTCCACCAACAACCTTACCTCCAACCAGCCAGCTTCAACTCCTCCACCTCAAATCTAAGGACGAGATGGCTGCACCCAAGGTGTAAGTACAGAACGAACTGCAAGTGGAGATTGCGCACAATTTAGACTAATTCAAGCTCTCAGAATCGTTTTGGGAAGTCTCAATGGCTCGCTGACGCCTGCCTTCACGAAGCTCGCGACCCTCCACGCCAAGAACAGCTTCAGCTTTGCCATTGTTACAGGCAATCTGTTCAGCAGCGAAGACGATGCCACGGTCGATTCACTTATAGACGGCGAACTGAAGGTTCCCCTTCCTGTCTACTTCACTGTCGGCACGGCGCCCCTTCCCCCCAAGATCATTGCCAAGATCGAAGCCGACGAGGAAATCTGCGAGAACCTCCACTTCCTCGGAAAACGAAGTATCACGAAGACGTCAGAGGGTGTCAGGATCGTCGCACTCGGTGGAAAGCTCGACAAGGATGTGGTGGGCGGTCAATCGAAGGAGCAGCACCTTCCGTTCCACACCGCGGATGATGCGAAGTCGCTGAAGGGCGCAAACAAGGCCGACATCCTACTTACGACCGTCTGGCCAGCTAGTGTCTGGACAGGGTCCAAGGTCGCTCTTACCCCAGAGAACCAGGCAGCGATTGAGAGCACGGCTGAGGTTGCTGAGCTGTGTGCGACCCTGAAGCCGCGATACCACTTCTCATCTTCACCCACCGAGTTCTTCTACGAGCGAGAGCCTTTCGTGCACCCTCTCGAGGAAGGTGCAGAGGATGCGGTTGTAACCCGCTTCATATCGATGGCCCCCTATGGAAACGCGGCCAAGGCGAAGGCGCTATATGCATTCACAATTACCCTCAACGAGACCAACGTCGAGAAACCCGCCAACGCTACCTTCACGCCGTTCAACCAGAGAAAGCCCAAGAGGCGGGCGCAGGACGAAGGCTCATACAGCCGCTTCGCCAACGGAGACGACGATGGCCGCCATCACCGCCGCGGAAACAAGCGTCGACGTCAATCACCTCCTCCCGGGCCGGACCGGTGCTTCTTCTGCTTGAGCAATCCCAACCTCGACACCCACATGGTCTGCACCATTGGCGAAGACAGCTATCTTGCTACTGCCAAGGGCCCTCTAGCCACATCCCAGACCTTTGAGGAGCATGGTATCAACTTCCCTGGCCACGTTATTATCACCCCTCTCGCCCATACACCGACCGTTCACTCCTCTGGCGTCGAGAGCTATGCATCTGAGGAGGCGGAGAAGACTCACAAGGAGATGACCCGTTTCCGCGAGGCTCTCCAGGCCATGGTATCGACCAAGTCGAACCGCAAGTTGGGTGCCATCACCTGGGAAATCAGCCGCGGTCGCAACATTCACGCTCACTGGCAATTCCACCCCATTCCCGCGGACTTTGTCTACAAGGGTCTTGCCGAGGCTGGCTTCCGTGTTGAGGCCGAGAACCTGAAGTACCCCGAGTTTGAGAGGCGCGAGATCTCGTACGAGGATCAGGCGGACTTTGGCGACTACTTCCGCATCTGGATCTGGGCAGACGACGGCGAAGACAGAATTAAGGGTTCTAGTCTCGTCATGAAGCTCGATCCCAACATGCGCTTCGATCTGCAGTATCCGCGTAAGGTTGTGGCGAAGCTCCTCGGTCTCGAGAAGCGTTTCGTCTGGCAGGATTGCACACAGACCAAGGAGGAAGAGGAGAAGGACGTGGCAGCTCTCCGCGAGGCCTTCAGGGAATGGGATTTTGCGCTTCAGTGAGCCGCGCGGCATATCTAGCGGCGATATCGAGGGCGTTAACAAGTTCGAGCATGATTACATCATTTTTCTGGCATGGCATTTGGCATGGGTGGCGTTTGGGGGGATACCCAGGTAACCTGCATATTTTTGCTATATAGGCAGGCCGGTAGTGGGGAGAGATCATTATTCGGCTTTTCAAAGTTGCGTTTTTTCTACGAGCTGAGGCATATCACAAGGGGCAGGTCGATCCATGGCTTCTTTCGAACCGGGGATACTGGGGAAAGCTGCGTTGCTTCATCGCTTTGAGGCTACATTAGACCTTCATAGACAGGCGAGTTAGGCCTCAAAAAGTTTTCTGAATCGTTTCCATCGTTCTTGGTCTCTCGTCAAATCTCATCTCTGCTCATTTTGCCAAGGCATGCAGTTCGAGTCGTGGATCCCATCACGGGTTCCATCACGGATCCCAATTTCATTCAAATCATCTTTCGAATCTGAGATGAAGCCAACGATGTAACGATGCAACATAGCAACCGTAGTGCCTCGTTAGAAACCCCCACAGGGACAGTTTTTTTCCGTATCGTGAAGAGAACAAAACATACGCAAGCACGGCAAAGGCGCTCTCGACGCCTGAATAAGCTTCTCCCTTGCTTGCCGCCACAGATGGACCCCCCTGTTTTGTCGACACAGACAACCCATCTTAGGCAAAAGTATCCATACGTGTAAGTCCCAGAGTCTTTCGAGACAAGCCCACAAGGGAGACTGAGACCTAGACCTTTTTCTCTTGGGGCTATCCTTTCTTGTCGGGTCACCGTTTACCACTTTCCCCCATTCTCGAGATTCTTACCCCAGATGGGATAAGATTCAAGACAATAGTGACATCCAACTGAGATGGCCAAGGCCATTTTGCTTTCCCGAAATGCAAAGAATGCCTTCTCAGCGGCAAATCACCTTTATACGCGGAACTAAATCACGAAGTTCACACACTAGACTTTCCAGAATCCACAGCAAAGTAGTGGGAACAGCACCTAGTCTCCAAGCTGTACGGCTCAAGAGATTCAAAACAAACAAAAAGACTCAGCTGAGATGTGACTACCGGTCATTGAGAGATGACAACAGAAAGCCAAACCACAACTGTTGACATTCTCTCTCACCGCATCCCCCCATGGACGCTTACCTACTTCATCCAACTCAACTACCTAGTGGTTGATTACGGCATTTCCAAACCTCTGAGACAAGTCTCACCCAAGAAGAATGTTCACCACAACGGAAGTGGCTGAACTCTTTCCGATGCAAACGAGGCAAAGCTCGGTCGCTTGGGTCGTTCGTCTTAGAAGGGGAAGGGAAACAAGCCACTGACGAACCACCACATCACGCAAGGGAGAGCGCGGCTCAAAACAAGCCACCGAAAAAAAGAAAACCCCCCGAACCCGAACCCAAAAACCAAAACAAACAGTCCAGCGTGTCCGGTCCCAAACGTCTTTCTTCTTTTTGTCCTTCTTGAACCCTTCGCTGAGCTTTCCTATTCGGGAAGCACAAGTCGAAACCTTGGTTTACGTAGTCGGTGCTACATGGTCTGTTTGTCTCTTTGGCTACTTTTCACCTAGCACGTGTCCTACCTGACCTTAGTAAGGTAGATCTTCTCTCCCCCAACGCCGAGTCTGTAGAACAACAAAAAAGAAGGGGGGACAAAGATTAGCATTGGAAAACACACCAGAAAGCTGTGGAGCGGCTGGCTTGTTAAGTTCTCTAGAGCCTACCTGGTTACCTTGCCCCATATGGCTTCAAACAATAGTACCACGCACACACGCCCAATACGTACGCTTACTTACCCTGGCATCAGAAACGTGTCTGCCCGCCTCTAAACTTAGGCTGCTCGACTGCTGCCATGTCCCATTGTTGAACTGGACGCTACTCTCCTTTGTAAGATAGTCTGTCTCCATTCATTCTTCTCTTTCTCTACGGGGATCGAAGAGCCAGTGAGGTATTTGTGATGAACAAGGGGAACTCGTCCTCTCGCAACTCGAGTCGTGCCTACCAAGTCTCGACACCATGACACGACACGTCAAAAAAAAAAAAAAAACTTGGCCGGAAACGGCAACACGCCGCGTTGCTTGTTTGAATTGCAAAGTAAAAGTCAGAAAGACGCGTGCACCCATTGTTCTGTATGAAGTCTATTCATCTCTTTGAATTCCCATGTCGCGAACATCACAATAGAGGGAGAAACAAAAGGTCCTTTACAATTAGCTTCGGACTCGGCCAAGTGACTATCACCCTACTCTTGTAATTGAAATGCCGCCCAAAAATTCTCCAAGAGGGCCCTGCATCTGCCATTCCTCAGGGAGGAAACAATCGTATGAATGAACGGATTTGACATACCTTGTCAGCAGTCAAAGAATAGACCGTGAAGCCTGTATCACCCACTCGTTCGCGTGCTCAAACCCCCCTCCACCCCCCTTCCTCATCCCCATAGACGGAGAAATGGGAAAGCCACACCTTGACATCTTACCCAAAATAAGCAACAGACGTTAGCCCAAAAAGACATGGAGCTGAAAGGTAAGGAAAGGGGAGGAGAACAAAAGCCACACTTCCACGCTTCTACGCTAGAACATTCGGCAGAACAACCCAAACACCGCGATATTCAGCAACCCCCCCTAACCTATCTCACGACGCGGGTGATAGGCAAAGCCCAAAACAAACCCAAAGACCAAAGACTCTAACAATAGGTCTTCAAGACCCCAAACGCCAAACGGAGAGAACAAACATATACACACGGAGAAAGAGAGAGAGATCCTAGCGCGGAGGCTACGTATGAACTAAGGAGTAAACTCCGACCTTTAGCTTCGGGACATGGAAGGAGGACCGAGCAACAAACCATCATGGCTCTCTCACTTGCATCATAACCCAATCCACGAGTCCCAACCCCTTTATTACCCATCATTCCATTGGACATTGCCTGGGGGAGGAAAGGAAGGGAAGGGGAGGGGAGTAACAGGATCTAACTGATACCACCGTCATCTGCCAACTGCCAAATCTCCCAACCATCTACACTTTAGACATGGGTAAAAGGACCACGATGTCACAGAAGACCTCGCTTCGGGTCGAAAAAGAACACCAGTCAAAGCTGACGTTAGATCGTGAAACTCGAGTACTCCATACGGGCCTGGCGATCACGGGAGCTCCCCTGCAGAACTGGGGAACCCACCTCATAGTACATACGGATAGAGCCTCAATACGAAGTCTAAAAAGAACCACAACGGTGGGTACTTGTGGGATGGTTCCTGATCGTTCTGGCGTCCGTGGGGGGGAGGAAACTCGGAGATCGGGCCCCCAAGTTTCGAAACACCATAATCCACAGTTCGGGACGAACCAGAACAACAAAAGAACCTCGGACCTCGAAAGTCTCGCACAGACAATCCAGCCATCAGTCGGTGCGATCTCAACGGCTTGGTGTGTTCCTCGGGACTTGGGAGAGGCTCAGACAAACGCGCTCGCGCACAACATGTAGACAAGCACACGCTCGCGCGCGCGCATTCCATCACAGCCGCGCCTTGAGCACGTGTCCGCGAGTCCAAGCAAGAATGAGCGTGTTTTTTGTTTGTGTGTATTTTCATTCAATTGTTATGAGCTAGCCCACAATGATCCGACCATGGACCATTGGTGTTTGGTTGGCAATTTTTTGTCTTTGCATCGCCAGTACTGTACAGAAAGAGGCAATGGATTCACCCAATGCCGGTATTGCACCAATCCAGCTTCCAAGCTTGCAGTGCTATCTCTCCCATTGGCCAATATTACAAGGCATTCCCAAGCAACTGCTTTTCATCCTCTGTACTAGCTTCTCTGCTCTTTGCATGCGTTCTTCCGCAGCTACTCCTACAATATACACAAGGAGGTGGAGTCCTCCATGAAGCTCAGCCATCGGAAGAAAAAAGGTCCGTGGGGCTTCTGTTTTGAAAAAATGTAAAGGGAATGGGGTGTCGATAGGTCTGTGAGTGCCATCCGATGACAAGGATGTCGGGTATCCGGCGTTTGGATAGAAAGGTGTGTGGTATCAGGTGAAGATGGTCAATGGACCGAGTTGAGCACAAAGGAAAAAGGGTCCGCCGAGGGAGGGATGGTCCGAGAAATAATGCTCCGAAAATATGTGGAGATTCCGACAGAAGAGCAGACAGACCGAGACGTCATACTGAAATGCTCCCGCGTCCGAAATCTGTGGAGACAGACAAGCGGTGGTTGTTGTTGTTGTTGTCGTGTGTTTGTTGGTACGTGTGTGTGTGTGGGTAATGGGTCGGGACCATCCTCCTCGGCGGGATGCAGAAGTCTTTGACAAAGGAAAAAGAAACAAAAAAACCAAGGACAATGCTGTAAAATGCCGACAGGGAGCCACCCCAAGATGCCAGATCCAAAGTGGACTCCGTACAACCATGTCGAGGCGATGCGGGGACAAATATGCCAAATGCGTCTAATGCCGGGTTGCTGGTTTTGTTGTATGTTCAAGTTGCAGAACGAGGCTCATAACGAAGTTCTATTAGCGTAACAATTGAAGTCATCGCGGCCGTGAGCGTTGCGTTAGCTGCTGTGTAGTCCGGATTGGTAAGGGTGGAAATATAGGCAGTCGAATCGAATAGGGGTTGTTGAACATGTGCAGGAAGAGACGCGAAAAAACATCGGCAATCAGGCTGCTGTGGTTCGCCCTATTAGGGATGTCGAGCAAATAGTCGACAAAACAATGGACAGCTTCGAGGTCTGCGGAGACCTCGAATTCCCCCCCTTGCCAAGCAAGGAGATCTCACCCCTCCCCAATGTGCAGCAGACAGTAGGTGTGGGAGGGGCGCAAAAGATGTATGTGCTAGTAGGACGCCATGCGTCGTGCATGGCATCGTTCGCCGAGGATTGGAGAGTTGCCAATCATGGCGATGGGATCTTGTCGAAAGCTGATGCTGGGTCTGAGGCCACTGGGGCGCGCGGGGGCTGTGGGTGATTGGTCCACGCAAGAGTCGCGCGAGCCAAAGGCAAACGTTTGCGCTCTGCCGAAGCCCTTGCGAGGGTTCTTGAGGCGGCCAAGTTCGCGTTCGCAAGTGCGCTGATGAGCCTCATCCGACATTTCCACGTAGTTTTGGGGATAGCAACGGCAACGGTGCTCGGCGTAGAAGCCGCTGTATCCTCCTTCAAGAATATACACGTCAGGGTATGTGAGTCGCGGGTAGTGCTCGGCGTTGACAGTCCTGTCCTCGGAGCGGATATGGCGAGCCATCATGGGGGCGCGGTGCGCCGAGTATTCGCAGTGGAAGATGAGGATTGTTCTTCCTTGCATGGGGTGTTGGATCAATTGGGAGGCGAGGAGGTCCTTGCTGTTGTAGTTGACAGCTCCGTCAATGTGTCCTCCTTCGTACTCGTACTCAAAACGGCAGTCAATGATCATCTTCTGGTCGAACTTGTCACTGTACTTTCCGTCCAAGAGATCAATCATGGTGGCCTTTGTTATCCGGGGAATGGTGTCCGTGGGGTCATCGGCGAGGAAGTGAGGCAGGATGGGCTCCTGAACATCATCGGCATCCATGCCGGTAACAGACTCCGGGGTGGTGGGCGAGGAGTCGCCGCCTTCTGACTTTGCCTTGGCGACATCGCCAGGATGCTCAAACATGCTCAAAGAGCGGCGGAATTGCTTGCGGGGACGCATGAAGGGATTTGAAGGGCGACGGCTGTGACCGTTGCCAAAAGGGCTGTTGCGGTTACCAGAGAGGCTGGAGAATTGAGGACGAGGACGAACGGCACCAGACACGGCAGGAGTAGGGCTATTCGCAGTCTGAGGTCGTCGTTCTTGAGGAGGTGATGTAGCATCGAAGCATTCTCCCAGGGACATTGCGCTGTTCATATGCGTCAAGCGATTCTCACCAAATCGGAAAGTGGGGAGTTGGGTGTCTGTGTTGGAACGGCCGGGAACGCCACTAGTCGAGTAGCCTTTCATCCGAGTCAAGGAAGGCCGGCGCAAAGCTGGCTTTCTCCGTCTGCCTCCTGAGTTAGACGCGACCCCTTGAGCTAGGAGGAATGTGGCAATCAAACTTACTCGGCTACCAGTGGCTTGGGTGGCTCCAACGACGCCTGCCGAGGAATGGGGGCGGGCGAATCCAACATCATCTCGTCGTCCTCGCCGGTTGGGGTTGATCCCGGGGTCGGTGACGTTATCGCGATCTGGGTCATGAACGGGAGCTTGTGCGGCAACGGCGAGACATCCATCAAATCGTGGGCAGGTGACGATTCGGGCAGAGGAGGCGTAGTCACGTATTCTAGTCTCACATCAGCTTCCTAGTCCCTTTTTCTCTCGTTTCTGCTTGCAACCCATAGAACAACGTACCGTAGGAATCCGCATCACCCATCATGTTTGATGTGAACAAGGCACGACGAGGTGTGGGGAACTTGGGACTAGACAGGACGTTTGTTAGTGAACGGTTATCCAAATAAATGTATTGGATGCACGCCATCGTACCTCGCCTCGGTGTCCAGACGGAAGTTTTGTGAGAGGTCGGCGGCCAAGCTAGCAGCAGGCGAGGAACCGTGAACGTCCTTGACGTTGAAATAGTTGTCGGGCCTGTGAAGGTGTTCGCGCAGACTGATGGGTACGGCACCGGCGAAGGTGTTGGGGCGAGGGCGGAAAAGATCCTTATTTCCCCAAGAAGGAACTGCCATGGGACGGTGCATGGCCGCCAATGGTGATGAAGCCTCCATGATTGTGGTGTGTGGTTGTCGGGATCCGATCGTGGGAAGCCAAAGTATCTATTGCGGGTGGTGATGGGTGTTAGTGGTGTTGCGTATGGTGGTGGTGTATTTTTTTTTTTTGCGAGAGAGTGCTGCGTCCAAGACGATACTCGATATGTCGTGACGAAAAAAGAGGGACGATCGTTAAGAAGTGGCCGCAATAAACGAATGTTGCAGCAAATCCTAAGATGAATTTCTATTTTGGTCGTTTCCGCTCAATGGAGAGGGAACAAGACGTCGCGACGAGTATGAATCGGGAGGCGGTGGTGATGCAAGCGGGCGAGAGAGGCTTCTTTCTATCTCGAATCGAGCGTCGATGTTGGCTTGGTGGGATTTCGCGGCGGCGGCGTGGAGGCTTTTCGAGAGGGTGCGTGCAGTTATGCAGCTGTGATCGAGAAAAGGACTGGCCGTTCGTTATTGCGTCGGTGCAAGCAACATTGGTATACCCGAGGGATGAAATAAAATTCGTCCTGCCTCTCCTTGATTCATGAAACCTATTTTTGTTCCTCCCAGAGAATATCGGTCGAGGTCGAAGTCGATATCGAAGTCGAGGTCGAGGTCGTTGGCGGCGTCTCTAACTTAGGGGGAAGAGGCGAAAGAGGCCGGCGGTCCACGATGGGGGCCTTGGGTGGTGCAAGGGGGACAAAGGTGGGCGGGTTGTCGGAGGTGGGAGCGAGGCGCCTTTTGCATGGAACGTCTTTCTCGCAGAAGAAAGAGAGAAAGAGCGCACCGAGAAAGACTGACCGAATCCTTGGTGCCGGAGCAGGAGCAAAGGCAATGCGGATGCGGTGCGGGATCTGCAGTGCGGCGTCGGTGTTGAAGGTGCGTTTCGGAGGCTACGACCCTTCTTAGTTCTTTGCTCGAGCTACGCTTTTTCGGTGGCCGAGCAGGAAGGGGATGCGATGCAGCAACGGCAGCAGCAGAGATGCAAGGACGCAGATTGCAGTAGTGAGAGAGACTGGTTTGCTGGTACTGAGTAGCGACAGAGAGAGAGAGAAAAGATCCGAGTGTACAGCAGTAGCACCGGACAAGCAATGACAAGAGAAACGAGTGCAATGCCCTTGGGTTATCTAGTGCCGGCGCAGGGACGGGGAAGAAAAAACGTCAAGCGGTTTCTCCCAAGCGTCTAGCCTTCTTTTTCTTGGTTTCCTCTTTTTCTTGTGTGCTTCTCTTGTTTCCTCTTTTGGCTTCGTTCGTTCTCGCCCGTCTTGTTCTTCTTTTTCTTGTTCTTCCTGATTACACACAATGCCCAACGGGGGGAAAGCAGTAACAGATGCAGAAAAGAGCAATAAAACGAGAAAAGACGGAAAAATTAGGAAACGAGTCGTGAGTTGAGTTTTTGCTGATTGTGTATGTGGACTGGCCAACAGAAAGGGCGGCGTCGAGTTACGATATTGGTCGTCGACGACAGTTATGCGATACGATGGGAGGACGATTATAGTGTGGTAGTCCGTGGGCGTGAGATGTTGGCGGTGGTGGTGATTTGGGTGCACGTTGAGTACGATAAGTTATAGAGAATGGCTGGACCTGGAGACCTGGGCACCTAGGGATGATTCCTGAACTGAACCTCTCTGATGGACCTAAGAATAAAGGTATCCGTAACTCTCTAAACTTACCGTACCGTCGGACCGTTGGTGGTTATGGTCGGGGATGAGGGGGGAAAGAAGAGAGAGGGAGGGAAGAGGTTGGAAGAAAGAGGAGACTAGAGGTTTTTGAATGAAGGTGTGGTGTGTGTGTGGTTGACTGGTCGTGGTGAGCAAAGTATGGATATGGGTATGGATATGGGATGGGATGGGAACTGGGTGTGTGTCTTGTCTCTCTCTCTCTCTCTCTGTCACTCTCTCTGGAACCATGGACCATGGATCAAGGTGTGTAGTGTATGGTGTGTGGTGTGTGTGGTGTGCGCCAGAGGTGTGGTGTGCAGCAACCATGAGGTGTGTGTGACGGGATTGGGACAGGATGGGATGGGATACCTGGGATGGGGATGGGGATGGTGGATGGGACAAGGACAGGATGGGACAAGACGCAGCGACCAAGCAACCAGAAGCAGGAACCAGGCTCTCTCTGGGCAGTCAGGATGGGATGGGATGGGATGGGATGGGATGGGATGGATGGAACCAAGGCATACGCCGCACACAGCAACGGTGCTATGTACTACCACTACTTACCAGTCTACCACTACTACTTTGCGTAGCCGACTAGGAAGAGAGTATTAGCGACCAGACCAGACAGACGCCAGACAACGACGACGACAGCGGGAGCGAGCGAGCGAAGAGAGGGTGTGTGGATGGAAACCTGAACCAGGTCCAGGAAGGCAACTCGGCGGGGTGGATTGAGACTTGACTGGGATGGGGGATGTCACTGTCAGTTGTTGCTAGCCCAGGATGGTCAAGATGGATGGGAACTTGGGAAGACTGGAGCTGGACAAGCTGGAACAGGAACCACCAGGAACGAGACAGAAACGGGTACAAGATGACATGCCGGGACTGAGCATTGCCGCCAGCTATGTCTGCGCAGACATATGTACAATATCAAGTTAGGTACAGCCAGAGAGAGAGAGAGAGAGAGACACACACACAGAGAGAAAGAGAGAGAGAGCGAGACATCATAAGCACAGCATAGCAATCATGGACTGCACACTGCAGCCGCCGACGATACCCCTCCACTCTTTTTGCTCCTCCTACGCAACATCATCTTCAGTACAATGTACTTTATACAGACAACAATTCTAAACTATGTATTGTCTCCATGGCTCGCCTCGTCTCGCTTCTTGCCTTGCCTTCCTTGCCCTGCTCCAGGTACGGAGCATCTGGCCTTACGACATTGGATGCCATGTCTGATGCCGGACTTTCTCTCTGAGCAACCAGCGCCAGAACCAGGTACAGACCCCAGCCATGGGCCATCAGCTCCAGAACCAGACACTAGAACAGGGAAGTGCCAAACGGGGGGGACCAGCCCAGACTACGGATACCTTACGTAGTACTGCGTAGTGAAGCTAAGGTGCGGATAAGGTAGAGAGAAACGACCAAGGGGGCGGTACATGGCTGTCTGTACGTACCCTCACTCTCTCTCTCTCTCTCTCGCAGAGTACGGAGTACGTACCTCACTGTGTGCTGCAATGGAAAAGTACGTATCTGACAGCCATGTACGTACCCGTCTTCACAACGGAACATCCCCCCCTCGTCGTGGAGCCTCCTTGGTGATCTTCCTCTCTCTCTGCGCGTAACCTCTGGTGCGATGCCCACCCTACCGCGACTTGAAAGTCAACTTTGAACTTGGTTGTCAGGGGAGATTTGGTTGCTGCTGCAGCTACTGCAGACTTGCAGCCGCATCAGAGCTTCTGGGTGGACGGCGACGACAGGGAGTGTATGTGCTCCAGATGGAGATGGAGATGCAGATGCAGACACAAGATGCAGATGGATGGAGCCCATGTGTCTCTGCCTTGCCTCCAGGCTCTGTAGCTCTCTTGCTTGCTTTCCGCTGTTTGCCAGTTGCAGCAGTCTGGGCTTGAACCTTTCCCCCTTCAGACTCTGAGGTGGTGTCTGGTGTCTGTGTGGTGTATGTCTCTCGCTCTATCTCGACTTGTCTCTGAACTGTCACTGAGAAAATGATACTGCAGCCAACTTGCATCGATGCTGCTGCACAAGGTACACTAACTCACCTTAACCTCCTGCCATTGGACGTAAGAAACATGGCATGGCCCTGTCTGTCTCTCGTCTGCGGTCCTTCTCTGGGGACTTTGCTGGCCATTTACACAGGGCCATTCCTGGTAATACATCCGCACCTTATTCTAGCGTGCCTTTTTTTTCTGTCTTTTCCTCGTACTCTTCTCCCCCCACTTTGCACGTTGCCAAGGAACAATGTGTGTGTGTGTGTGTGTGTGTGGTCATTGAGCTGAGAATATCTTGCTTTCTCTCCCGTTGCCCGGCGTCGTCTGATTCTCTCTCGGAGGAACTATCGATCGGTTGTCAGTCTTCCAGAATAAAAACAAATGGTCGGACGGCAGAAGCTTCCAAGGCAGAGAGGCAGAGGCAAGAGAACGACCCGAGCCAAAGAGCACGTGGCTCGAGGTACGTACCTGGGAAGCAGGGCAGGGCAGGGAAAAGGAAGACTTTCTCACCTAAGATTCCTTCCAGCTTGTCGGTGCCTTACCTTGCGTCAAGGTAGAAAAGCCGTGAGCGGGCATAACTAAGGTAATGCGCAACAGCAAAAAGGTTATCTGTGCTGTGCAGCAAACCAAGGAAATCGAGTAAAATCGTGCCAATCGCACCAAAGTCCGTCTTCCCTCAGCCAATGCGCTTCGAGTTTTGCCCGTGTGGTGCCCTCGGATCCGATGCACAGCACAAGCAGCTGGAGCCAGCACAAGCATTTTCATCCAGCAGCAAGTCATGGCCTCCCAAAAGCAGGTACGAGTAATTCCTCATCTTGCCGCCATGCTGAGATTTGAGAAGCCTGGCCACTCGTACGTACTCCGTACCACACCTGTGAAGAATACACACAGGTATCCGTCCCATCCACATGTCTCTTGCAGACGCACACCCCCAAATCCACCCAGCATTACCGACATGAACCACGCCCGCGCCCACATTCGCCCTGTCTTCCCACGAGGTACCTGGCGCCGTACGTGACGCCGTATGAATACCAACGCTGTAATTGGGCCTCCCACTCTCCCAGCCAATGGACCCTTCAGGGGGGCAAGAAACTGAACTGACTCCACGAACATCCTCCGACGACTCAGGCGCCCAACAACGCCGTTGCGGCGTACAGGGGGCCCTACTTTGGCACCAATCCCCTGAGGAACTTTCCCCCCTTACAGGCGGTTGCCGCAACAATTGACGGATTTACAGCGGCTTCGCCTGAGTGTTCCATCCCCCCACTGATGGCCGCTGGCGGCGTGCCCTGGAGCGTCGGATTCATGCTCTATCGGATGAGGCGTCAGGGGCACGAGGGGCTCCCTCTCTCCATCTTCCTATCCCCCGTGCCGCCCCAAACGTGAGCAACCCTCCACTGGGGACTGGCGTGCTCGCTGGCGTGCTGGGCTTCCCGTGTTGTCGCTAGGAAGTTTTAGGGCCCGGCGCAGTGTGCACGTACTCTACTCGGTACGCCGTAGCCCATTGACTCGGTAGTATCGGTAGCGCCAAAAGGGTCAACATGTTTGATACGGAGAAGCGCGAGGCCTTTCGCGGTCTGGTCTTGGTCTTGTTCTCCAGTGATCGGAGGCAGTCTCCAGAAAGCTCGAGTTTGAAAGTGGTTCTCGTGCTCAGTCGTCACCCACCCGACCGGCCATGTTCCTGTCTGGCGTTAGATTGGAAACTCCCCGAGAAGAGATTTTGATGTTCTGTCCGCAACTTGGTCTGTGGGCAACATAGCATACCGTCCCTGAGTCCCTCAAGAGTGGCCTGCGGGGTGGTCTGTGGTGTGCGGTGCAGCCGTAGACTGGAGCACCCGGAGCTGGTCGCTGGGCAGCTTTCGGAACGGGATCCAGTAAACTCGCCATCAAACGAGTGTTACGTTTGGATGTTGGACCCGTCGACCCGTTGCGGACTTGCGGTTGCTGCAGCATCTTGAAGCTAGAGGTATCCGTAACCCGGACCGTAGTGATGGTCTTACATGATACGGATACCAAGCGTCGAGAAAACCCTTTCTGGCCCCCGCTGTTTCCCATGGTAGTGAGGCGGAAGAGAAGGAAAAGAACGGGTTGCCCAGTGGAAGGGTCTCGTAGCCCGGTGATCCGTCTGCAGGGAGAGAGAAAATTGAAGAGAAGAAAAAACCGTGCAGCGGACCCGGCGCCGACCCAGATGCTACAGCCTACGGGTCCTATGAGGAAAGTGCGGAGTGACGGGAGGTACCTTCCATGCGTATCCGTAGGTCCCTTCCTTTCCTTCTCCCACACCACAGCAATGGAAGGAAGTCTCCAGACCTCCACCTTCTGTAAGTGTTATTGGCAGGCACTGACTGGGTATCCAGGGTAAGGTACTTACTCTACCTACCTTACCTACCTTACACTGTACCTGCTCCAGTGCTCCCTGAGTCCTTCCTGCCTCACAATGACCAAACCTGAGGTGTAAGGCTTTACTCTAAAATGGAAAGCACAGAGTGTCCAATGGAAGTCTTTTCCTTCCATTTCCAATTCAATATTAGCCAGGAACAACCAACCTAAGGCAAGGAGGCTTCGATCCCGTTGAATGAGATTAACGTTTTTTTTTTTTCTTTGTGCTCTTTGTGCTTTGTGCTGTTCCTCTTAGTGCTGTGCAAGCTCAAACATTCACACAATTCAGCCCAGCTACCTTATCCAACAAAGCTTCTCTATGCCGCACCTCTGCCTCGACTTATTGCCCGTAAGCTACTAAGGCACTTTATTCACTTACTTGTTGGACAATTGGGACTAATTTGGTCCTCCCTTTCTTCGGTCAGAAAGCACCATTTGCGAAGAAGCGCCGGGCCCAGCAGAAAGCGGTATCAACTTTCGACTGTCTTCTTGGCTTAGTGCAACAAGCCAGACGCAATCCCAATGCCAGTCCGACTCGAGTACCCTGACGACAACAGCACATCGAGTATGGCACAACTCCAAGGGAAATCACTGAGGATTCTCTAGATACGAGTCAACCACCGGTCCATTGAACTATAATCCGAGTTCCAAAAGATGCGCACAGGGAAACACTACGTGCAAAGGACCAGCTACACGCGCCTCCCGTGATCCATCCATATGGCAACGACATGTGTCCATTGCAAGCCATCGTCCGCTCGTCCCTTTTTGCCCCCAACGGCCGCGGTCATTCTCTTACCCCTCCCCCCCTTCTATCGACTAAAGACCAACTTCACCGTTGCTCCGGCTATGAACTACGGTATCTAGTTGACGATGGCCCCCGTGTGGCTGATGGCTGGCGCTAGGCTATCCGAGAAGCCAACTTCTAAGCGCCCTTCACACGATCCTCGAACCGAACCGACAAAGTCAGCTCCTACTGTCCACGAGGTTGCTTGAGATGCCAGCCGACCTGCCAGCTGGGCACTGTCACGTCCAACATGCCTCTCTCCCCCAGCACTAGCAAATACCACTTGGCAGAAGTGGGGCTAGACCGTCGACTTACATCATCGCCCAGCGTGGGCAACCATCAGATCAAGTTCAGCACCGCCGACAACGCCGCACTTGACCACCAATACCACCGCCAGTAACCATCGCGAACCTGGAAATGAGCGGTGAGTTGGCGTATCGCCCTACTCAGCTGCCCCCTGTCCAAGGTGTGCCTTACTACAGAGCACCTTCTAGTACTTCGGTAGTGCACTGGACGTGCGAGCATGTACTCCTTCACAGAGGTACGGCTAGGGAGTACGGCGACAACCACACAACATTCAGAGACAAGACAGTAGCGGCTTGTCTCTCCTGTCTGTCGCTTGTCTGCCAACTCGTTGACTTTTATCCCCTGCTCTGAGCAACCGGCTGCTTAACCTACCAGCGTTCAGGGTCTGGAGCCAGCAATTACACCAGACGCCGCCTTGCCTATTGTGTCACCCGCTTCCTGCACCTTAATCGTGCTGCTTCCATCCTCATTCGCCAAAAGACCCCAGACCACAACCTCCATCCTCATGTTGGACACAGGGTTGGCAAGGCTACCTCACAGCAGCCGCAGAAACGGAAACGCCTGGCGGCTTCGGACAGGGCTCCCACGCCCATGATCTCCCGAATCTTGCCCGTCTCGTCATCCCTTCAGCTTGGGTTCACCGTTCAGGCCACACGGCACACCAAGCTTGCTACTCGGACCTGGTGCTCCCAAGCAACCACGGCCCCGGAGGCATATGCCCGAATCCAGACCTTTTGATGCTGCCGCTGCAGGCAGGGCACCTCCGCTGCGGCCGACACAGGCGGGCAATGACATTTCCGGGGCGTCAGCAGAAATCTGAAGTGAGACTTCAGGGCCCTAAATGACTCCTTGCTGCATTCTTCGGTTGCCGGGTCATAGCCTGCGAGAAGGGTCTTGCTTGAGACAAGGTCGGAATAAAATGGCGTGGTGATTATGGGCCATGTCAGACTTTTTTCCCCCCCTTTCTCAGGTACAGAGTACAAAAAAACTCATGAGTGGCTCGTTGGCCGCTAATTATTCACAGGCTTATCCCGTCGACAAACAAGCCATTAATTGGGACGATACAGTACAATTGTTTGCTAATTCGGGACGTAGATCCTTGGCTGTAGTACCCTTTTCGGACTCAGTCTACATTCCTCTTCTTACAGATACACAAGACAACAGCATTCCTTGGTGACCTCAAGATGGCCTCCCAATGGCCCGCATCAGTGACATGCACAGAAGGTCAAAACGTCAGGGCTGCAGGAATCACAAGTCCCAGCAATGACGTAGATTTGGATGTCGACCATATGTGGTGGCCTTGCTCGTATTCTCCATCTCGCAATCCTGATGCACTCCAAGCGAATCTAGTCGGCCCAGCTGTCCGGCCAGTGGACGGGGCCCGAGCCTCAGCAAAACCGGCTCTGCCGAGATATTCGGCCTCTACCGCACCGCACGACAAGAGCCGAGAAATGGCAGATCTGGCACATAGACTAGTGCACGGAGTCGCGTCGTGAGACTTTACACTAAACCCATCAACATAGCTGAGCATGTCTGCAAAGATTTTTCAGCACTTGCTCCAAAGACCCTACCTCCACAAAGCGGATCGCAGCAATGGTCCAGCAACGACCAAAAGGAGGTTCCGAAGACAGGAAGAAAATTCGAAGGAAAAAAAAAGAAGTACTCCGTACACTAAAGACCCGGTAAAACCCCCATCGTCATCTTCTCCCCACAGCAACCAACGGGGCCGGCCCTGGGCTGAAGACGTGGGATCGGCTGGGATCAGCTGGGCTTTGACTAGGGTCCGACAAGGGGACATCGGCAGCTCGCAGGGCTTCACCTCCATCTCCGCCATCGCGACTGGCCAGAGCTCTCGGCCGTTCTGCCTCAAGTTCTCAACTCTCTCAGCCAAGCCTAGGGCAATCCCTCGCTTTCCCCCGCCCATCGGCCCAGTACGTGACCCCGGTCCTGGCCCCGGCTTCTGTCTCGTGCGCTGTGAGTGCGTGCTGGGCTAGGCTCCGCTCTCGTTAGCTACCTGGGAACCTCAGGATTGCTTATCACTGCCACATCGTCCCGTGCAACCCAAACTTCAAACCGACCGCGGTCCTCGAATAAACAATTTGGACCTGCCAGAACCTCTTGCTCACACCGACTTGGCGTTGCAATTGGCTCGTTGTCGGCCACTAGGAGAAACATAGGGTCTGGTGGGCGCTGAGACACGGTTCTTGCGGCGCTGGCACAGCTGGCTTACAGGGCATCTTGTTTCGGAAGACAAGTGGATACACTGTAAGCACAGATGGACCTTTGGTGCATAGTCAGAGCTCGGGAGCTTGGGAAGAAAAGAGACACACAAAAAGAGAGCTTTGCTGGAGCTCTGTTGAAGCTTCAAGCTTGGCCTAGAGCTGGGCTGGGGGCTGGGGCTGAAGCTCGGAATATTAGCAGGCACCAAACCCGGACCAGGCGATGCACCGAGATGACGACTGACAACGACCGTTCTGACAGAGCAACAGAGTTCGAGTCTTGCCGCAGTTGTCCATGTCAACTCCCTGATAGTGATCCATCCAGCTGGTCTAGGCCTGGGTCTTGGCTTGCCTGGCCTGACTGGCTGGCGAACAGACGGGCGAATGGCAGCTTGCCCGGAGATCAATGGCCACGCCAACATCAGCGGCGCTGGTCAAGCATTTGAATGATGCGGATTTGACGGTGCGACACTTGAGTTCAGGGCACGGGTGTTGAAGGCTGCCAGATGCCAGATGCCAGATGCCAGTCAAAGTCTGTCTAAGACCGGCTGGGGGTGAAGCGGCACGCTCAGTCTTTCATCTCCACAACGAGCACCGTGCATCGAGGAACAGCGATAGAGACATTGATTTTTATCGCACGTCGGTACGTGTATCTCGCTCAGTGGTCAGGCCGATCCGAAGCCGGCGGCTGGGGAGATGAAGGTCGAATGATGGTTATCCGAGTTGCGACAGGGTCGCAGAAGCGGCCGATGTTTGTTTGCAACGACACAGAGTCAATTTGGATCCTTTTGCGTTTCGTGGATTTGTTCGACGGGGCAACAGAAGCAACGGGGAAATCGGGACGAGCAAAGATGGGCGCCAGTCCCATATGTTCCGCGCGGCGGGCTGCAGATGTGCTGCATAGTTGATGCGCGTATGCGAGCCCAGATGCAGAAGCAGTGCAGTACACTACGAGATATGCTTGGATGGATAGTCGATGAAGATGGATACCTCGGATGCAGAGCTGCACTTTCCATTGCGGACAGATGGCCCAGTCGCGTCAAGCTGCTGCAGCTACTGCATGCAGTCCAGGTTTCCAGAGTACAGCCATGTTTCTGATGCTCCGCCATGTTGGCCGGCCCGCCCTAGCTTCCACAGGGTCGAAGCTCCCCCGGCGACCGCGGCTGTCGACGGTGAGATGGTCCAGCTTCTTGCAGGACGAGTTACGCACTCACGACTCACGAAGTGGGGTTGACGAAGCTCTCGATACAGGCTCTCGTGCCTCTCGTTTTCCTCTCCTCTGGGACGACATGACAACATCAGCAGCGGCAGGATCCTGGTTTGAAGCTCCAATGCTCCACTTGCAAGGCCCGGCCAAGGGCATGTTTGTCATATTCCCGTGTGCACAGAGGTTTGGACCAAGAAGAACCCCTCTCGTTGGCGGCCACCATGCAGCATCCCCAGCTCCGTCGAGACGCCCGCCGTCTTACTCTGTAGGGGACGGTTTGTTTACTTTGGACTGTTCTTGGAAAGCTCGTCTTCTGTCCTCAGCTCGATCGACAATCCGGCTTTTGGCTTTGGGCCAATCTTGGCCGTGAGCATGACCATGTTGGTCACCTGGTCGTCTCGAAATAGGATTGAAGAATTCCATCCAGCCAGGGGGTTGCGCAACAATGGATGAGGCTCACGATTTCAAGAATGGACGAAACGTTCATAAAGCTCTTGACTTCGCTTAGAGGGCCGATGCTATCGTCAACCCTGTTGATATTGACTGGCCTACCCTGTCTTGTTCCGCTCTCAATCTGCGGTTGCTTGGTTGGAGAAAAAAATTGTCCATGGGTCGCGTCCCTATTCACCGAGCCCTTGAACCCCGCGACACTTTACCGGACACCACGAGCGAGAGAGGCTACACACTCATCCTCCCGATTCCAAGCCACTGGCTGCCATTGGCGCACTAGCGACTGGCGTTGGGGTCGTGATTGCGAGTCGACAGCTTCAAGTCCAAGCGGGTGCACAGGCAAGTGCACTTGGCCGTCGGTGAAAGCGGACGGAGGAATTTAAATGATCACTGACAGTACGTGGCTGACGCAAACTGCCATGTCGAGCTTGTCTGATCTGATGACGGGCCGCCTTAGAAATATTCGGAGGCGTTATGTCTGGCGCCATGGAGAGCATCCTCGGTACTCCAAGATGAGTCTCCTTTCGCGTTGCTCTATCAATCGCACGAGCTTTGCGCCAACAAGGGTTCAACACGAACAGGTCAGCGGGACCAACTCCTGAAAGTCTTGAGAGTGTAAGATGAGGATGCTCAAACAGCAAAATGCGGATGAATCATCCGAATATTCGGTATCCAACATCGCCCGATCCCAGGCCAGAACCAAGAAGCGACCGAAACCCCTATACCACCACACCACTCCTCCATCAATGCGGTCGGAGAATTACTGACATAAGCTGGTTGGAGGCACGCCGCACAAATATTGATTGGGTTGCGATAATACGCATATGGCCCGATCGCGATTTGACTCATCAGACGCGAGAAGGAAATTCGAGAAGAAATGGGCACAACAAAAACATGGTCTTCAGGCATCTTCCCATGCCACAAGACATGGTCTCACCCGGCATTTGCACATCGTGAAAAACAAGGTCCGGCCATCATCCATGATTTTGAGGCTAACAAGTCAGGCTTGCGTATCCGAACTTGGTACAGATATGAGCGGCGACGTAGAGGGCGGTGCAAGAATCCCCCAGTAGGCCATCTCGATGTAAAAAGCATCGATCACGCACCTCCCGCCCCGATCACCTGCGGCTGGTCTAGTCCGGCTCTAAAACAGACGTCATCCTCTCGGGGTCGAGCCTGGCAGTGATCGTCAAGACTTAAGAACACCCCCCGGCCTGCGGCCCCTCCCCCAAGGCAGAGCGCTCGTCTCGCCGTCGTGTATCGAGATCCTGCTTAGCCGGGCCGTCATTCTCATGCGGTCACATCGCTCTTTTCTGGAGCATTTGCACAATTCGAAGCATCACGGCCATGGGTATTACTGGATCCAGTGCCAGGGCCGCATCGACGACGACCCCGTGCCCATCAACAACAAAAAAAAAACAGTGCCAATCACTAGAGAGAGCGCTCATACGTACGACAACATGTCGGTCAAGCTTGACCGAAACGAGAGGGGACTCGACTCAGGGCAGAGAGAGCGACAGATGCCAACGAGAAACAGGATTGGATGGTTCGCCTTGTTTGTTTATTCGCGCGCACGAGACTTGGCTGTCGGCGCTACCAGGCCGTGATGCCTTGGATTGATGAGGCCATCTCGCGCTATTGAAGATTACCTGCATGATAGGGAAAACAGGCATCGGAAACAATCCAATGAGGCGTCCCAATGCACTCGGAAGCTGTCAGAGCCAAACTTTCAGCTTGTATTTGACATTGATAGAAGGTTTGCAAGCCTTGTCGTACGCCCGGCATAGACACATCAGTCAATGCCGCGTGACAGAATCCGCGATGGCGTTGTCCCCCTCCCTCTCCCTCGGGTCTCCGTGCCCCTCCTCCTCTTCCCCTCTCCCGTTCCTCAGCTTGACTAACGCACAGAGAGAGGGAGAGCCGCTGCTGCTTCCCCTCTTTTGCCCCCTTGACCCCTCCAAGGCCAGGATCAAACATCTTTTACGCGGCTCACTTTGGATAACGTGAAGAAGTAGAGAGCCTTCACTGAAATCCTGCTCACATCGTCTCTGGTCTCTGGTTGAACGTTTGAGGATCGTCTCTAGCCTGGACCCAGTCCAATGGACAAACGGTGCCGTTTACGCCGTTATGGAGCTTTCTCTTTGTCTCGTCCTCGTTGGTACGGCTATGGTGAAGCACGAAAGCGGGTGCTGACGGCGCGGGCGCGTTGCACTGCGGGTGGGAAGCAAGCCACTCTTCATACTCAAGTGAGGGGAATTTTCTTCGCTCTTGTTTCTCGTTGGCGGGCACTTTGTTTACAAAGTGCGGGTTCGCGATTCATGTCAACAATGGGCCCCTGCAGACCCTGTTTCTGGATCCTAGCTCCAACGCGAAGTCATGTGGTAGTTCACGTGATGACGACAAGGATTGAGTCTCCAGCTGTGACGTCTCTAGCCGCCGTCATCCCAGTTTAGCAGCTGGTTCGTCGGTCCGGTTGGGCGAACCTGGTTCAAGGCTGACGTTTGGTGGTGTGGTGGTGGGGGAGGGAAGAGACCGACGAGGGGGGGAGAGGTTCTCGAATGGGACGTGCTGATGGGACAGGAACCAGGAACGTCCGAGCGGAGCTTCAGCTCAGGTTTGGGGGCTCAGTGGAGTCGGCATCCCTCGGCATGGCTCGTACGGACGAACTCCGGTTTTCATTGATTCTTTCTGCGGCTACGAATTGCGGATAACATCGCATCATTGACGCCGGGAGTCCGTCAAGATGACCCCCGGGTCGTGAGGGTCAATACAAGAGAGGCGCCGCTTCACAACTGCTGACGGTATCATGATGATGACAAGGCTGGCGAAGGATCTTGGTATCAGCGCAGGGGGGATTACTCTATGGATAGAGCTCCTCTTTCATGCTTCCTTCACCCCTCTTTCGAGCCTCTCTGCTGCGGTATCTTACAGTCTCAATGACCGACCCCGGAACCACTGGATGTTGCTGGGCTGAGACTGACTTTGGACTTGCTTAGAGAGCATGGGATTCTAGGACTGGGTTCCCCGCTTTCGCTATCAAGGGGAGCTCTATTTCGGGGCGCAGCAACCACGGGCAAACAGCTCCCACGCACCCAAGCTCCAAAGACCTCACCCACTTGGTTGATGAACGATTCCTTACCTCTCGGCTAATGCGATACGAAGATCCAAAGTTGGGTCGAAACATGTCGCCATGCATGCGGACCGGGGACTGATAGTTTCTCATTAATTGTCCGGCCACAGCAGCTACCGACACTACCGACCTATGCCTTGGAGGAGCAGGGCAACCCGCACCGATGTCTGAAACGAACGATATCACCCGGTGAGCCGGGCCCGTATGCTCTGTTGCCCGTCTGACCGACGGGTCTGACCTGACTCTGCCATTCCCCGGTCCATGTCGCAGCAGGAGAAGCAGCAGCAGTAGTCCTCCGTAGCAGCAGCCTGCTAGCAACGGCACCACCACCGACAACTGCTGGACCAACACCTCAGGATCAAGTCGGGATGAACGAGTTTCCGGGATAGGCTCTCCACCGTCGTTCTTGCGTATGAGAGTGTGAGCCAACGCAATGCCTTGAACGATGTTCACACATCCCAAACCAACAAGGCATCCGAAACTCGCCAGTCACAGTGATTCCGCGCGCCATTGCTAGGCGAATGCTACCTTAGCCTCGAGCCACCCACGTCGCGCCTCCAGAGGCGAACAATTGTCCGATGGGCTTGTCCACGGTTCCCGCGACGGCTTCAGGAACATCAGCGTCTTTTTTGCGTGCTCGCTTGTCTTTCTCGCCTCTAGAGCCTTTGGGCCCTTGGCTGTCTTGTTCTTCCCCTCCCCCACATCCCCGAGACCTCAAACATCCTCTTCCCCCTCCCAGGCTCCCACTGCCCAGGCTTATCAGGCTACACAAGCAGCGAAACAGATCGGGCGAGACCGCCACGCCCGCGCCGATAGGAACCGACCGGCCGGCGGAGCCGCCGTTCAAAGTCCGCGTTGGTGCAAAGTTGTTTCTGACGGCGGCGGCGACCTAATGTCCGCAACATTCCTCCCCGGTGGCCGTTTGTCATTGCGGTTGATGCGGTATGTAGGTGGACAGACCCTTATTTCTCAGGGTCGACGAGCGTGGCACAAGACCTTTTTACCTGTTTTCTTTGTCCGTCTCGACTTGTTGAGTAGTTCCGTCGAACGTCTGACAGTCGGATCTGGGGGGGCTTGCTGTCCCGCAGGGACGGACTCTTTTTTTCGGTGACGGCGCCGCTCGACTAACATGCGTTTGTGGCGTTTCCGTCTGGCTCCAAGTCGGGAAGCCTTTTCCCCCTGACTATTCCCTTTGGTAAGGCATTTGAGTAGGTAAGTAGGTAAGGCTCTTGTAAACGGGAAGGGTAGTCGATATAAAACGGGCATGGCGCCCTCCGAGCTAAAACATCCAAACATTCCCCCCCACGAGGGTTGAGACAAAGAGAAAAAAGGGTGGTGGCGTGACTGGCGGCTTTTTGGAATGACGGCAGGCTGGACGATGGAAGGACGACGAACCTGATGGGTTTAGCGAACTGCTGCTTCCCCCTGAACTAAGCGGGAGCGAGTGGAAGATGGCACGATGTGGTTGCGGGAGAGTAGGAGTTTGGTTCCGCGTGGTTTTGAGGCGGCTTACTGACAGTCCCATCTTGGAACAGCATCAGTATCTTGTATGCGATCTTCAGCGTGGACGGACGGCGCACTCTAGGGTGTTTGAGGAGACGGGGAGAGAGCCCGGCGGCTGACTGAAGCCTGGTGTTCGTAGACTATGTTTGGTGAGGTGTGTTTGTAGAGGGGCGAAGCTGGAGTTTTGGCGCCGTGCTGTCTGTATAACTGTCCTGGATAAGGATCAATCGTTCTAGAAGATCGTGCCTAGTTCCCGTTACTAGAGGCTGATCAGGAGTTTAGAAATAGACTACGATTGGGTGGTTGTTTTTTTCTCAGTATTGTTCCCGTTGTCCTTTGCCCCTGAAGTCGTTGATTCTGTTGCCATCCCACCCCCTGAGTCTGTCTGGCTAAGCGCGGTGCCACGTCGTGAGAGTACGGGCTAGAGATGAAGGAGGGATGGGGGTGTTTGGCGAGGGAACGGCATCTCAGATCGGCGTTGGGGTTTCTTTACCTGGCTTGCATGATTTGGGATTGCGGTTGGATCTTCAGGAGATCGTGGAGCTGGCTGGACCTCTATGACTTTTGAGCCCGATGTCGATGGCTTTCTTGTAGTATTATCTGTTGTGCTCCGCTACCGAGGACTGGGCTGAATGAGAAGATCTGTACGGACTGGTCTCTGGGAGGGACAGGATGGTTACGGTATGGCGAAAGTCTGGTTGTGAGATATCGACGTCCCGTGAGGCTCTCTGACGAACGTGCCTAAGTTCCCGCTATAAAATGTCAAATCTGTGGTAGTGTGATGCAGTAACAGCAATGAAACCCGAGCGCACAAATGTTCAGGACGTTCATCCGAGCTATTTGGATGGTGACCTTCTTGTACGATCTTACTTGT